TATTAGGAAAACATACTACTAGTTATGTTCAGACTGCTAAAGAGAATGGAAAATTCACTCTCATAAGAACTTGCTTTATTTATTTTTAATATAAATACAACAAAAAGGAAACCAATTTTATATTTGACAGTTTATCAATCTTTAATTTTGGCATAACTTAATGTAAAACAGCTCCAAACAAACACAAGGTAAATACCTCAGAAATTGCAACATACGCAAAAAACAACAGGTAAATACAAATAACTTAAAAAATCATATGATATACTTATATCCACAAAACATATTACATACAAATCAACAAAATATTTCACACAAAATCAAAATGCGTTTTGAAAGCAATAGGAAATGTAGCTAAAAAACAACAACATCAAATTGCAGTGCTAATGTCAACACAAATAAAAATCATTTATTTAACTAAATCCTCCTTACACAAATATCTATGTCAAATATTGTAAATAAACCCAGAATGTCAAATTCATATTGATGGTTATTATGAACCAAATCAGTAAAGTAAGATAGATGTTCCACCCTACAGCCACTGTAGCTCTCTGCATGCAGAGCCCATGGTTCAGCTAGGCTGCTGTCTGTACCATTACAATGCAAACCCAAACTCTTTGCATATTGTGATTTATTTTTTTCCTTTTCATCTTACTGTCAACTCACAGGTGGCATATTTTACATTGTTGCAATATTTTCTGTTTATTCAAAATGGTTAAGAATAATTTTTGGATGACTATAGCCTGTTCTTAGTTAGGTTAGCTACATGCCCCAACCTTTCATTTAGCCTGGGTATCAGTCTGTTTCTGTTAATACTCCTTTCCACTACTTGCCATGCCAAACATCATGTCATGTTTGGCATATGACACGGAGCACAATGAGTGGAATGTTAGTACAAAACAGGTCTGGATTGCAGGCTTTAATAAACTCCTGGTATTGCTAGTTTTCATATTGAGTTACCATAGTTATCATCCAGTGTTTCTACAACTGACGTCTTGCACTGCCTTCCTTATCAATCCATTAGCTGGAAATACAAACAATGACGACTAAAGAATTCAGTGCTAAACCTGACTAGCCTGTGGTAGTCATTTTAAAAGTAGATAAAAGTAAATTTAAATCCTTGCCTTTGTTGAAATATAAATACAATAGTTACCGAACAAGAAATGGGATGGAAATCATTACAAGGATTGTTATTTCCTGCTGATAATGTGAAAGGTGATTAAGAAACAAATTACAATTACAATGGACACATTTCACACAGTACATAGAGTTCTGAAACTGCCCTTACAGACATCTAAACACATTATCAAATTAACATAGAACAATTTGTCGTTTTTGACACGTACATCAATAGACTACTGTTTGACATGATGGGAGACCAACTATCAGTTATTATTACTAACCAACTAAATAGCGTCCCAAATGGCACGCTAATCCCTTTATAGTGCACTTCTTTTGACCAGACCCCTATGGGTCCTGATCAAATGTTGTGCACTATAAAGGGAATAGGGTACCACTTTGGACGCATGCTAAGATATGATGTGAGAGAGTCATGTCATGGTTTGGAACAGATAATTATGGTTCAACTGTCAAAACAGAGACTAAATGGAGACGTCTTGTTCTTTTCAAATGTAATAAACTCTTTACATCATCTTTATATACAACAGTTTTTACTTTTTTCCTAGAAAAGTGTCCCAAGTTTGATATGTACTTGACATACAAATGTTGTATAAATGTTATTAACTGTAGGTTTGTTTATTTGTATTTTTCACAGTTTTAAATATGACCAGTTGAATAAAATCGTACATTCACTTTTTTTTATCAGTGTTGAAAGAAACTGTCATTGTAGCACTATAACTGACCTCTTCTTCTAAGCTCATCAGTTGAAGTGTTTTTTCTTCAGGTCTTATTACCTATATTTTAACCTGTCTGTCTCTTGGCCTTATGATATACAGTGGGGTCCAAAATGATTGACACCCTTGATAAAGATGAGCAATAATTACTGTATAAAATAAATAAGTCAAATACTGAGCTATATTGTATAATAAAAAATATATCTTATTTATACTAATACAATTGCTCAGAGAAAGGGATTTTGTTTAACAAGTCATCTATATTATACATTTTTTTAATGTAGGGGTAGGGTTGCAAAGGGAGGGTATTACTGGAAATGTTTGAAGTTTACCAATAAACTACCAGAATTTTGGTATATTTTAAGGATTTTATGTAATCTATCACAAAACATCTAGTGGCCCTTTTGGGTACTTCAGATTATCACAGAAGGTCAAAGATCATACCCCCCAAGACATGCTAACCTCTCATGTTATTGGTAATTGTGAGAGGTTAGCATGTCTTGGGGGTATGATCTTTGAACGTCATTATTCACGATTCATTCAGGATTATCCGTAATCATGGTAGCATCCACATTAATTACAAAGTGTTTAGAAATATATGATTTACATTTTAGTCATTTAGCAGACGCTCTTTACCAGAGCGACTTACAGTTAAGTGAGTACCTTTTTTTTTAATACTGGCCCCCCGTGGGAATCAAACCCACAACCCTGGCGTTGCAAGCGCCATGCTCTACCAACTGAGCTACACGGGGCCCCTGTGTTATTTACAATAAAAGTGACTCCAAAATTACAGAATACATTATTTACCATTCATTTCTACCATTATATAATCTGAAACACAACCTAAACGAACTGCAAATGCATCCAACAAGTTTGTAGAATCACAAGCTTGATGTAGTCATTGCATGCTAGGAATATGGTACCAAATACTACACTTTTGACAACTTTATTTATAAGAACCTTTAGGGATCTTTAATTTTCACCCCTACCTTTTTGAGAAAAAAATGTTTTACTTGTTAAACAAAATCTCTTTCTCTAAGCAATTGTATTAGTATAAAATAATATAATTCAATTTTTTTTGGGAGCGTATACAGTTGAAGTCGGAAGTTTACATACACTTAGGTTGGAGTCATTAAAACTCGTTTTTCAACCACTCCACTAATTTCTTGTTAACAAACTATAGTTTTGGCTAGTCGGTTAGGACATCTACTTTGTGCATGACACAAGTAATTTTTCCAAAAATTGTTTACAGAGAGATTATTTAACTTATAATTCACTGTATCACAATTCCAGTGGGTTAGAAGTTTACATACACTAAGTTGACTGTGCCTTTAAACAGCTTGGAAAATTCCAGAAAATGATGTCATGGCTTTAGAAGCTTCTGAAAGGCTAATTGACATCATTTGAGTCAATTGGAGGTGTACCTGTGGATGTATCTCAAGGCCTACCTTCAAACTCAGTGCCTCTTTGCTTGAAATCATGGGGAAATCTAAAGAAATCAGCCAAGACCTCCACAAGTCTGGTTCGTCCTTGGGAGCAATTTCCAAACGCCTGAAGGTACTACGTTCATCTGTGCAAACAATAGTATGCAAGTATAAACACCATGGGACCACGCAGCCGTGATACCGCTCAGGAACGAGACGCATTCTGTCTCCTAGAGATGAACGTACTTTGGTGCGAAAAGTGCAAATCAATCCCAGAACAGCAAGTAAGAAGCCACTGCTCCAAAACCGCCATAAAAAGGCCAGACTACGGTTTGCAACTGCACATGGGGACAAAGATCATACTTTTTGGAGAAATGTCCTCTGGTCTGATGAAACAAAAATAGAACTGTTTGGCCATAACGACCATTGTTATGTTTGGAGGATAAAGGGGGACCTTGCAAGCCGAAGAACACCATCCCAACCGTGAAGCACGGGGGTGGCAGCATCATAGTTTTTAGTTTTTGTCATTTAGCAGACGCTCTTATCTAGAGCGACTTACAGGAGCAATTCGGGTTAAGTGCCTTGCTCAAGGGCACATCGACAGATTTTTCACCTAGTCGGCTCGGGGGTTAGAACCAGCGACCTTTCGGTTCCTGGCACAACGCTCTTAACCACTAAGCTACCTGCCACCCTGGCTGTGGGGGTGCTTTGCTGCAGTTGGGGTGCTTTGCTGCAGGAGGGACTGGTGCACTTCACAAAATAGATGGCATCATGAGGAAGGAAAATTATGTGGATATATTGAAGCAACATCTCAAGACATCAGTCAGGAAGTTAAAGCTTGGTCGCAAATGGGTCTTCCAAATGGACAATGACCCCAAGCATACTTCCAAAGTTGTGGCAAAATGGCTTAAGGACAACAAAGTCAAGGTATTGGAGTGGCCATCACAAAGCCCTGACCTCAATCCTATAGAACATTTGTGGGCAGAACTGAAAAAGCCTGTGCGAGCAAGGAGGCCTACATACCTGACTCAGTTACACCAGCTCTGTCAGGAGGAATGGGCCAAAATTCACCCAACCTATTGTGGGAAGCTTGTGGAAGGCTACCCGAAACGTTTGACCCAAGTTAAACAATTTAAAGGCAATGCTACCAAATACTAATTGAGTGTATGTAAACTTCTGACCCACTGGGAATGTGATGAAAGAAATAAAAGCTGAAATAAATAATTATCTCTACTATTATTCTGACATTTCACATTCTTAAAATAAAGTGGTGATCCTAACTGACCAAAGAAAGGGAATTTTTACTAGGATTAAATGTCAGGAATTGAGAAAAACTGAGCTAAAATGTTTTTGGCTAAGGTGTATGTAAACTTCCAACTTCAACTGTAATATAGCTCAGTTTTTGAATTATTTATTTTATACAGTCATTATTGTTAATCTTCATCAAGGGTGTCAATAATTTCGGACCCAACTGAATTCCTACACTGTATTACTAATCTGGTAAACAGTTTATGGTTAGTTAGTTAACCTGTAGTTAACTTGTAGTTGACCTGTACGGTTAGTTAACATTAGTTAACTCTTATACCGGGAGTTAGTTAACCCTAGTTAACTTGTGTAGGTAGTTAACAGCAGCTAACCTGTATAGTTGGTTAACAGTAGTTAACAGTGGTGTCCAGGTGTCCTCCAAAACAGCAGCCATGTTGTACTGCCTCTGTCTTTGTAACCCTCAGTATCTGTTCTGGTGCTCGTAGTGCCACCGGTTGAAGTCGATGTTGAACGCCACAATGCTACCGGATGCCATGCCAGTGATGAGAGTCCTGGGGGAGGGGGACACACACACACAATACAGTATGTTCATCAAAACAATTTACCTCTATATGACCCACTACTAATTAGATTAATGTATTGTATTTTATTAGTTATTTCCCAAACATGAATCTACTTTACTAACATCAACACAATAGGTGTGTGTGTGTTTGTGTATGTGTGTGAGTGAGTGTGTGGTGTGTGTGTTTATGTATGTTTGTGTGAGGAAAGTGACGCTTCTGTATTGCTCCAAGGCAAGTGTGCTTTCAGAACCTTTCACTGCAATTTTGTTGTCTCTATGGCAACCGGTTCTATTTAAAGAAAACAAAGCTCACTGAACTGCGAACGTTCCATTTTCCCAAATGTACCCTGACAAGCATGAAACACACAGGCCCTTTCAGTGTTCTACAGCCTACATACCGCTCTACAACCACACACACACACACACACACACACACACACACACACACACACACACACACACACACACACACACACACACACACACACAATTGATCCTGTAGTAGAGGCAACCTGACTAGGAGGACTAACAGAACTAACCTCTGGTCGTGAGAGAGGTCCATGGCGCGGACACCAGCATCACAGCCTGGGTAGATGTAGAGTTGTTTGAAGTCACAGGCCTGCCACACCTCCACCACCCCGTTGTCTCCTCCTGTCACCAGGTTCTGACCATCACTACTCAGCATAATGGCCTAGGGAGCACATCATAATAATTATATAATAAGAAATAAAATAAATAACATACAAATAAATAAATAATCATAACAACATCATCTACCTCAAATCACAGCCTAGGCCCTATGTAGTAAACTACTTTAGACATTTAGACCCTAGGCCCTATGTAGTAAACTACTTTAGACATTTAGACCCTAGGCCCTATGTAGTAAACTACTTTAGACATTTAGACCCTAGGCCCTATGTAGTAAACTACTTTAGACATTTATACCCTAGGCCCTATGTAGTAAACTACTTTAGACATTTATACCCTAGGCCCTATGTAGTAAACTACTTTAGACATTTAGACCCTAGGCCCTTTGTAGTAAACTACTTTAGACATTTAGACCCTAGGCCCTATGTAGTAAACTACTTTAGACATTTAGACCCTAGGCCCTATGTAGTAAACTACTTTAGACATTTATACCCTAGGCCCTATGTAGTAAACTACTTTAGACATTTAGACCCTAGGCCCTATGTAGTAAACTACTTTAGACATTTAGACCCTAGGCCCTATGTAGTAAACTACTTTAGAAATTTAGACCCTAGGCCCTATGTAGTAAACTACTTTAGACATTTAGACCCTAGGCCCTATGTAGTAAACTACTTTAGACATTTAGACCCTAGGCCCTATGTAGTAAACTACTTTAGACATTTAGACCCTAGGCCCTATGTAGTAAACTACTTTAGACATTTAGACCCTAGGCCCTATGTAGTAAACTACTTTAGACATTTAGACCCTAGGCCCTATGTAGTAAACTACTTTAGACATTTAGACCCTAGGCCCTATGTAGTAAACTACTTTAGACATTTAGACCCTAGGCCCTATGTAGTAAACTACTTTAGACATTTAGACCCTAGGCCCTATGTAGTAAACTACTTTAGACATTTAGACCCTAGGCCCTATGTAGTAAACTACTTTAGACATTTAGACCCTAATCCCTATGTAGTAAACTACTTTAGACATTTAGACCCTAGTGCACTAGGTTTGAATATTGCTGTCCAGCAATGATTCCCAACCAAATGTACTGAGCTTGAGCTAGATGTAAAAATATATTTATGTTGCCCTATACGTTGTGCAAAGTTGGTGGAATCTCATTCAAAATGACTCACAGCTATAATGGCTGCCAAAGGTGCTTCCACCAAGGGGTGTGAAGACATGCAATCAAGATATCTTAATTAAAAAAAATATATGCAGTACCAGTCAAAAGTTTGGATACACCTACTCATTCAAGGGTTTTTCTTTATTTGTACTATTTTCTACATTGTAGAATAATAGTGAAGACATCCAAACTATGAAATAACACATACGGAATCATGTAGTAACCAAAAAAGTGTTAAACAAATCAAAATATATTTTAGATTTTATATTCTTCAACGTAGCCACCCTTTGCCTTGATGACAGCTTTGCACACTCTTGGCATTCTCTCAACCAGCTTCATGAAGAATGCTTTTCCAACAGTCTTGAAGGAGTTCCCACATATGCTGAGCACTTGTTGGCTGCTTTTCCTTCACTCTGCGGTCCAACGCATCCCAAACCATCTAAATTCGGTTGAGGTCGGGTGATTGTGGAGGCCAGGTCATCTGATGCAGCACTCCATCGCTCTCCTTCTTGGTCAAATAGCCTTGTTTTGGGTCATTGTCCTGTTGAAAAACAAATAATAGTCCCACTAAGCGCAAACCAGATGGGATGGCGTATTGTTGCAGAATGCTGTGGTAGCCATGCTGGTTAAGTGTGCCTTGAATTCTAAATAAATCACAGACAGTGTCACCAGCAAAGCACCCCCACACCACCACACCTCCTCCTCCATGCTTCACGGTGGGAACCACACAAGCAGAGATAATCCATTCACCTACTTTGCGTCTCACAAAGACATGGCGGTTGGAACCAAAAATATCACCGGTCTAATGTCCATTGCTCGTGTTTCTTGGCCCAAACAAGTCTCTTCTTATTATTGGTGTCCTTTAGTAGTGGTTTCTTTGCATCAATTCTACCATGAAGGCCTGATTCACACAATCTCCTCTGAACAGTTGATGTTGAGATGTGTCTGTTACTTGAACTCTGTGAAGCATTTATTTGGGCTGCAATCTGAGGTGCAGTTAACTCTAATGAACTTATCCTCTGCAGCAGAGGTAACTGGGTCTTCCTTTCCTGTGGTGGTCCTCATGAGAGCCAGTTTCATCATAGCACTTGATGGTTTTTGCGACAGTTCTTGAAATTTTCCAGATTGACTGACCTTCATGTCTTAAAGTAATGATGGACTGTCGTTTCACTTTGCTTATTTGAGCTGTTCTTGCCCTAATATGGACTTGGTCTTTTACCAAATAGGGCTATCTTCTGTATACCTCCCCTACCTTGTCACAACACAACTGATTGGCTGAAACGCATTAAGAAGGAAACAAATTCCACAAGTTAACTTTTAACAAGGCACACCTGTTAAATGAAATATATTCCAGGTGACTACCTCATGTAGCTGGTTGAGAGAATGCCAAGAGTGTGCAAAGCTGTCATCAAGGCAAAGGGTGGCTTTTTTGAAGAATCTCAAATATATTACTACATGATTCCATATGTGTTATTTCATTGTTTTGATGTCTTCACTATTATTCTACAATGTAGAAAATAGTAAAAATAAATGAATGAGTAGGTGTGTCCAAACTTTTGACTGGTACTGTATATTATTATTAATTTGTAGAATGTTCTATAATTCTCTTTCACTTTGAAAATGTGGAGTAGGTTCTGTAGATTGGTGGAACCCCCCCCCCCCCCCCCCAATTGAATACCTTTTTTTGATAGAATTTTAAGACCGCAAAATGTGAAGACTGTGCAAGGCGTGTGTAGACTTTCACTAGGCACATACTGTATCTGTGGGCTTACCCGTGTTGAGTCGTTGACCTCCATCTGAGCCAGTAGTTTTCCGTTGATGCTGAAGTTACAGAAGCGTCCTCTCTCGTAGCAGATGATACAGTGGCCCTCGCTGGACACCGATATGAGGCGGGGACACAGGCAGTTATCTGGGCCCTCCAGGGCCCGCAGCAGGTCCCCTGTTATAGTGTGGACAAGACATGGACCCTCTGGAGGGAGAGCAAGATAGAGTTACACACAAACACGCACGGATGCATGCACACACTATTTCAAGAATGTTACTCAACATTCCACTCCTAACTGAGATATATCAACTATGTACTGTGGCATGTGACATTACAGTCCTATCAGCCAACTCACATATACTATATATACAAAAGTATGTGGACACACCTTCAAATTAGTGGATTCAGCTATTTCAGCCAAACCCGTTGCTGACAAGTGTATAAAATCGAGCTCGATTTTATACACCTGTCAGCAACGGGTGTGGCTGACATACCCGAATCCACTAATTTCAAGGAGTGTCCACATATTTTTGTATATATAGTGTATGTTTTTTTTTATACTGTTACTTCGATTTTATAGTACTTATTTTCTATAGTGCCTTGGGTGCGAGAAAAGCACTTTATAAACAAGATGAATTATTATTATTAGATGAAGGAGATTAAACTGTAGTGCACTTCTTTGGAACAGAGCCCTATGGGCCCTGGTCAAAAGAAGTACACTACACAGGGAATAGAGTGCCATTTGGGACTCAAGCTGTCTCTGCTGACCTTTGGCTCCACTGATGACCAGTCCCAGCTCGGCACACACAGAGACACACACCACCTCATGGTCATGGCCGGTCAGCACAGCTCGCGGTGCCGGGTAGTCACCTGGAACACAACACAATAGTTGGGTTTTATTAACAACATGGCTTGGGATTGTTGCAACAGAGCGCACTTAACTGGAGAATGTACTTATTAGGAGCAACTAAACTCTCCTCTCCTGCCCTCTACTCCCTTTCACCCCCTCTCCTTTCACCCCATATGTCCTTTCCTCCCTCTCTCCTCTCATCCCTCTTTCTTCTCCCCTCTCCCCCTCTCCTCCCTTTCACCCCTCTCTCTTCTCCAGTCCCTTAGAGAGTAGGACCAGAGCAGACCTGTCAGTCCCAGGACAGCGGTGAGGTGAGGTGGCTGATGGGACATGTGTCAAATAAGTCCTCCAGAGAGACCACGGACTCATCCAGCTCACCTGCCCTACAAAATATTAAATCCGCCTGCACTGAGCCCCCCAGCCCCCAAACCCCCAGGGGCTTGAGCCCCCCAGCCCCCCCCCCCCCACTCAGCCAGCCAGCCAACACAACCACCCCACCTCTACCTCCCCACACTGCCTCACATTGCGGTAGTATGGGCCGAGCTGGGCCTGAGAGGCAGGGGGGGAATTGAGCTGGAAGTAATTTTAATGACCAGGGGCCTCATTGATCAACAATGCGTACATTTCTCACTAAAGTCTGGCGTATTTGATCACATTTATGTAGAGGGATGGGCAGAATGAGAATGAGCCATGGATAAATGGTAGCATAGTATTTGTTATGTAGCGGGAATAAACCAGTCATGTCAGAAAAGGAGAGACGTCCTGCAATATGATTATGATTTAGGCCTATATAATAAAAGTAAAAGAAACACATTAGTCTACATGTTGCTATGAGATCTCCTTACCAATGGCAAATGCATCTGTTTCATCATTAGGCATATGTTTTAATGTTTTTATTAGCCTACCATTATTATCATTCCTGTGCATCAAACGCCTCCATTTTCCTCAAAATAACAATATTTGCTTGCAATACAGTTGATCAACCACTAGACGTTGTGCATACTCATGATCTGAGATTTGCGTGGAGATACGCAAACTTTCCCGTCAAGTTCAAAATGGATAAATACCAACCTTTGCGGGAAAACTGGCGCACGCAAGGTTTAGAGTATTTTCTGTGCGCTGACTGCGCACAGACCTTTGATAAATGAGGCCCCAGGTGTTTAGGACACATGCAGGATGTACATTAGAGGACACTGTTCTCACCCTGCCGAAGGTTACAACATCTTCAACTCTGTCAAATATGAATAATATAATACTCTCCTACCTAGAGTGCTGTGAACTGAAGTCTGACAAAAAGTATTATTGTTAATCTTGAAATTGTATCATAAATTATGACTAACTGCTTTATAAATAATACAACTAAATAGCTCATATAGGTAGCTACTGAAGACTACTATGTGTTTCATCAATAGTGAAGAACTGATTAAATGTTCACTCTGAAAAAACTGATATCAAACAACCTGGTTTGATTGATATGGAATATGATTAGTTGAAGTTCTCTCCATAGAAGTAACCTTCCTTTGTTAGGGAAGGTGCACAGTACAGTAAGCAGTGTGTGTGTGTGTGTGTGTGTGTGTACCATGGGAGTTTCTCCTGCAGTATAGTGCCGTGGCCCCCTCTACTAATTGGAACAAACCAAGCTGAAATTCTTAATTAGCTTCAGTGAAGATAATGAGAAAACACTCACCTCAACCACAGCCCCATATGACACCAGTTCATGCACAGTACACACAAATACAGTATACATACGAACACGCACACACACTCTTACACACACACATACACGCACACACACAAACACACACACACTGTTATTATGTCCAAGACATACACATGGTGAAGTGTTTGTTTTGAACACAGATAACCAGTGAGTATGAGGAACAAAGTGTGAAGAGCAGCAGAAATCAAATCACACTCTGGAGCTGAATAGCAAGACATCTGGAGTATTTTACTGGAAAGCAACACACACATATAGGTGCATATACAGTAGATGCTCCTCCCTGTCAGGGCTGGTGTTATAGGCGGGCCCTAGAGAGCCTGGCCCGCCCTTTCCCTTCCAAATAAAATATTGAAATAATGATCATTTATTTGACCGAGATGCGCGCCGACAGAAAGATGCATTAATCTCAGATAAGCATCCGAGCGAGCAAAACAGCGCCCCTCTGTCTCTGTATGTGTAAACCATGTATCTGATGCTGTCTGACAAAAGGAGTATGGCATGTTATACTTTTTCTGGCCAGACAGCATCAGATACATGAGCTACATACACAGTTGTGGTAAAAAGTTTTGAGAATGACACAAGTATTGGTCTTCACAAAGTTCGCTGCTTCAGTGTTATGAGATATTTTTGTCAGATGTTACTATGGTATTCTGAAGTATAATTACAAGCATTCCATAAGTGTCAAAGGCTTTTATTGACAATTACATTAAGTTTATGCGAAGAGTCAATATTTGCAGTGTTGACCCTTTTTTTCAAGACCTCTGCAATCCGCCCTGGCATGCTGTCAATTAACTTCTGGGCCACATCCTGATTGATGGCAGCCCATACTTGCATAATCAATGAGTTTGTCAGAATTTGTGGGTTTCTGTTTGTCCACCCGCCTCTTGAGGATCGACCACAAGTTCTCAATGGGATTAAGGTCTGGGGAGTTTCCTGGCCATGGACCCAACATTTCGATGTTTTCTTCCCCGAGCCACTTAGTTATCACTTTTGCCTTATGGCAAGGTGCTCCATCATGCTGGAAAAGGCATTGGTCGTCACCAAACTGTTCTTGGATGGTTGGGAGAAGTTGCTCTCGGAGGATGTGTTGGTACCATTCTTTATTCATGGCTGTGTTCTTAGGCAAAATTGTGAGTGAGCCCACTCCCTTGGCTGAGAAGCAACCCCACACATGAATGGTCTCAGGATGCTTTACTGTTGGCATGACACAGGACTGATGGTAGCACTCACCTTGTCTTCTCCGAACAAGGTGTTTTCCGGATGCCCCAAACAATCGGAAAGGGGATTCATCAGAGAAAATCCCTGTACCTTTTGCAGAATATCAGTCTGTCCCTGATGTTTTTCCTGGAGAGAAGTGGCTTCTTTGCTGCCCTTCTTGACACCAGGCCATCCTCCAAAAGTCTTTGCCTCACTGTGCGGGCAGATGCTCTCACACCTGCCTGCTGCCATTCATTTTACATTTTAGTCATTTAGCAGACGCTCTTATCCTGAGTGTATAATTTTTTTTTTTTTTCATGCAAGCTCTGCACTGGTGGTGCCCCGATCCCGCAGCTGAATCAACTTTAGGAGACGGTCCTGGCGCTTGCTGGACTTTCTTGTGCGCCCTGACGCCTTATTCACAACAATTGAACCTCTCTCCTTGAAGTTCTTGATGATCCGAAAAATTGTTGATTTAGGTGCAATCTTACTAGCAGCAATATCCTTGCCTGTGAAGCCCTTTTTGTGCAAAGCAATGATGACGGCATGTGTTTCCTTGCAGGTAACCATGGTTAACAGAGGAAGAACAATGATTTCAAGCAACACCCTCCTTCTAAAGCTTCCAGTCTGTTATTCTAACTCAATCAGCATGACAGAGTGATCTCCAGCCTTGTCCTCGTCAACACTCTCACCTGTGTTAACGAGAGAATCACTGACATGATGGCAGCTGGTCCTTTTGTGGCAGGGCTGAAATGCAGTGGAAATGTTTTTTGGGGGATTAAGTTCATTTTCATGGCAAAGAGGGACTTTGCAATTAATTGAGGGAGCGCACGCGCCTGAGCACGCCAACCTGCTGAGTTGATACAATGTTGCACTTCACTAGTGATAGCTCAAGTCAAGACTGATAGAAAGGGAGGCAGACAGGCGGAGTAGAGAGATTAATGCGATTGAAAGAACCTACATTTTCATCCGGACATTTTCTACTGTTTTTATTTTTCGGCTTTAGGCCTATGTATTTTACTTAGTTGATGATGGAAGTTATTGGCCTACTGCTGCATTGGCTATAGGCTATCTCTGAGTTCCATGCTCTAATTTCTTTAGCTGCCAATGGATCACGGTGTATCAATGTGTCCATATGGCAAAGGCTGGTGCTCTTGCATTAGTTACATTTTTACTTTGAGATTTTTTGCATTTTATTTCAGATTTTTATGATTAACTACATTACAATAATTTTAAGAAACTAAAACGTTATTATTGAAGTAAAAGTGTTCCACGAAAATGCGCATAAAAACTGGCACGCAGATAGGTCGAAATAATAGGATAAATTGTTATCTTCCCCTAACTTGAAACTCACGAGCTGCCTATAGTCTTTATTATGACACATGAACAAAATTGGGGAAAAAACGGGCTGCCTATAGAAATCAAATGCCAGTCCAACTGATTCGTTCCGGCGCCAGCCCTGCTACCTATCTCTGTCCATTATTCGATAACAATAATGGAAACCAGGATTTTCACTGCTGATCAAAGAATGCTGCTTTTAATATAATAATCTACCTTTATAAACTCCAGCTCCACTATGAGGTGCTGTAATTCATTTGAGCTGATATGAAGAGCTTCCTCTCTCTACCCTTGGACAGAGGGCAGCTACTTGCTACAGCTCATGGACAGGACTGTTACACTGTGTTTGTGTATGTCTGTCTCTCTGTCTGTCTGTGTGTGTTTGTGTATGTCTGTCTCTCTGTCTGTCTGTGTGTGTGTGCATGTGAGTGTGTGTTCTGACTTACTGTTGTTGGGGTTGTCTCCTATGATGTGGTGCCGTCCGCTCCAGTACCACAGTAGCAGCGTAGCGTCTCTGGACCCTGACACGATGTAGCAGTCTCCCCCGATGTAGCTCTCTGACCTGGCCAGACACGTCACCACGTCCCAGTGGCCAAACACTATCTGGGTCAGCTTACCTGCAGGACAGAGAGAGCAATATAAAGTAATGTAGATGTACTATAGTAATAAGGTAGTAGTATTATAAGGTCTGTAGTATTATATGGGTTAGCTTACCTGCACAAAGACAGTATTATGATATAAACCTATGTGTGTAGGCCTACTGTGTGGAAGTAATACAGTGTAATATAGTAGTAATATAGTATTACAGTAGTATAGTAGTAGTATTATGGTGGTACTATAGTAGTAGTACCATGGTAGTTAGTATTACCTGTCTCGGTGGAGTAGACTCTGAAGCTCTTGTCCCAGAAGCCACAGACCAGGATGTAGCGGTTGTCGGCGGTAACCACGAAACAGTGTGTGTTGATCTGGATGCTCTGATCCACCAGGTCTGTGATCTGACGCTTATTACTCCCAGAGTTGTTGGCTACACCCACACACAGAGGGATAACTTAGTTTGTATTCAGTACAATGGTCTGGCCTGTCCTCAGGGTAACACTCACCAATCAGAGGGTCCATCTCTATGGGCAGGTGGTGGGCCTGTTCTAGGGAGTAACCTGGCGCTCCTCTCAAACCTGGAAACACACACACACATTACACATGTATGTCACACACACAGGTACGCACGCGCACACACATCCCACACACACACCCTGAGCACCTGCTCCATGGTCAGAGGTTGGTTCATGAATGTTTCCATGAAGCTTATTGATTTCACTTCCTGACTGTCAGGCTGAGTAGAGCTATGATCCCCTGGAGGGAGACTGGAGGGCAGAAACACAGCAGCATGCTGGGAATATGAAGCCCTTAGTATTCTGCTCATTATTGTTGGAACCCAGAACACTTTTCTTCTCTCCAACAGAAAAACATTGGAACTGCAGCTGTGGTCATTAACGACAGAATGTTAGGCTCCACTCTGGTCCTCAACTCGGTGTGTGTGTGATGAGTGTGTGCTCCGGTGACAGATGTGGAAGTGTGAGGAGAATGTGGTGCAGTCGCAGCCTAATTTCCCAGTAAGCTTTGCAGCGACCCTTGACCCTGAGGTGAGTTTGGTTCCTGAGAAGTGTGTATTTGTGTGTGTTTGCGTGCGTGCGTATGTGTGTGTGTATGTGTTTGTGCGCCTGCGTGCTTGTGTGTGTGTGTGTTCCTTGGAGCATTGGTGGGTAATGTTGTTCACACATGCCTGAGGACCAACATGTGGAAGCACTCAGACTCTCTTCACCTGACCAAGGGGTGTAGCATGGTGGGTAGATATGATGTAGTGGTAAGGCACTGGTCAAAAGAAGTGGACTATATAGGGAATCGGGTGCAATTAGGGATGCAACCATGAATGACTGTGGAGATGGTGCTGGCTAACCCTGGTTTGTCCAGACCCAGGCTGCTACAGACCCAGGCTGCTACAGACCCAGGCTGCTACAGACCCAGGCTGCTACGGACCCAGGCTGCTACGGACCCAGGCTGCTACGGACCCAGGCTGCTACGGACCCAGGCTGCTACGGACCCAGGCTGCTACGGACCCAGGCTGCTACGGACCCAGGCTGCTACGGACCCAGGCTGCTACAGACCCAGGCTGCTACAGACCCAGGCTGCTACAGACCTGAACAGCTGTAGTGTGTAGACGTACCCTGGTTGGTATAGAGGGGTTTTACAGGGCCACTGCAGTGGTAGGTAGCACATGTGGTGGAACACGCAATTAGTTTTACAAGAGCATGTGTGTTCTGTTGCCTATGAGTTTGTGTGTGTGTGTGTGTGTGTTTTCTGGCCTGTGTTTTCTGGCCTCTGTGTGTGTGTAGTCCACTCACCGACGGTGTTGTGCCAGCGGTTGACAGCGAACAGTCTGCTGCAGGTGACGGTGACAGCGGCAGGGACAGAGAGGTGTGGCAGGGTGTTGGCTGCTACGTGTGTCACCGGGGAGTTGGAGGGGAACTTCAACACCATGATCACATCCTGCTGCATCTGGTCCTTAAACATTAGAGGGCTCTGGGGAAGGAAACACTATTGAGCAGAAGAGAGAAGAAGAGAGGGGGTGTGGAGAATGGAGGATGGAGGGATGGAGGAGGATGAGGAGAGAGAAGGGGACAGAATGGAGAGAGGTAATTAGTGTGGAGGTAAAACAGGTTTCAGACACAGAGGAGCTGCATGTACATGGTGGAGGAGGATGAGGAGGAGGAGGGGTGGAAGAGGAAGAGGAGGAAGGGAGAGGGCAGGGAGGAGGAAGAGGAGGAGGGGAGAGGGTAGGGAGGAAGAGGACAGGAGGGAGGAGGACAGACATACATACAGACATACAGGCAGACAAACATACAGACAACAGACAGACAGGGGTTAGAAACATGAGATGGAACTGTTGTTTATAGTACATGAAACATCAGGGACATGGGTTGTCCATCCATATACATGTATCTTCACTTGCAAGCACAGTCAGGGCAACATTTTCCTAGTGCTAAATAATTTAGGTAATTTTTGCACTTTGCACAATTCTTTTGCACTACGAAAATGTGGCCCTCAGTTTAATTGACTGTATGGGGATAGCAAAAATAACTAAACCAACAACACGTCAGATAGCAGCTGACTGCTGTGGTAGAACTAGGCCAGTAGGGGGCACTCTTCCCTCTGCTCTACACAATAGACACATCAACTCCTCATTCAATGGAGCCATGGGAAATATGTTGGTAGTAGTTATTTTATAGTACTGAGTAAGGCATTGGCAATGTTATGGTTTTGATATTTAATGGGGAAAATGTTTGTAAAATGTAAATGTATTGTCTGTGTTGACTTCTGATGCTTTCATTGCAAATTTCAACTTTTTAGTGCTGGTGCTTGCAACCTGCTTGAATACAGACATACATGAGAGTTTAAATGAGGAGTGGGTACAAGGAGTGGAGAACATGGTAGAGAAGAGAGCATAGAGAAACCTATTGACAACATATTCTCTCTCCCACCATGGAGAGATGGGACTGCCACACACACCACAAACACAACATACAAACACACACACACACACACACGACTGCACAAACGCGCACACACAAGCACAGACACACTTGCATGGACACAAACGCACACAGATAGACTGAGACGCAGTGGAAATAATTTTTCCAGCATGCCGTGTGTCTCACCAGGTGCATGGCCGAGCTGCGAGGAGGATGTGGCTCGATGAGCAACTGAGACGGAGTCTGTCCAACAATCAGAATCTGCTGCTCCATCGCCTGAGGAGAGAGGAGAGAGGGAAAGGGAGGGAGATAGGGAGAGGAGAGAGGGAGGATAGAGAGAGAGGGGGGGAAAGGAGAGAGAGGATAGAGGAAAGAGAGAGAGATAGAGAGAGGGAGGAGAGAGAGAGGAGAGAGAGAGAGAAAGAGAGCGAGAGAGGGATGAGAGAGAGAGAGAGAGCGAAAGAGAGAGAGAGAGGGGGAGGAGAGGGGGGAGGAGAGAGACAGAGCGAGAGGGGGGAGGAGAGGGGGGAGGAGAGAGAGAGGAAAGAGAGAGAGTGAGAGACAGCGATAGAGAGGGAGAGTGAGGGAGAGAGAGGGAGAGACATCGATAGAGAGGGAGAGAGAGGGGGAGAGAGGGAGAGAGAGGGAGAGACAGCGATAGATAGGGAGAGAGAGGGGGAGAGCAGGGGAGAGGGAGAGGGTAGAGAGAGAGACAGAGAAAGGGGAGGAGAGAAATAATAGAGAGAGGGGGAGACAGAGCGAGATGAGAGGAAGAGGAGAAAGAGAGAGAGAGCTGCTGTCACTACTTATATTCATCAAAGTGATGGGTCAATGCGTTACTTGACAATGCAAGCAAATCCCAACTCAGCCGTGCCTCCGAGGAGGGGCTTAGAGGGAGGAGAGGGGTGCACACCCAATACGCCTGGGTGCTCCCCCTCCCCCTTCCTCCCTCCTCAGCCTGCAGAGTCATCCAAGTGTTAGTATGGAAGAGACAACCCTTTCCCCATTAACATGCTTCAGTTAACCATTCCCATCCCCAGCCCGAGACCCTCCACACTAACGCTAACCTGGACTGACATGATGCTAGGGCTGCAGCAGGCCCCACGTCCATGTTATTGTGCCTGGAACAAAGGCAGAGAGCAAACACACACGCACACACAAATCACACAAAGTACTAGACAGTACACACCACTCAGTATCTACAGCTTCCATTGGCAACCACATGCCACAGTGGGAGCAGTGTGTTCTGGGTAGAAGGTGATTCTTAGCCAGAACCGTCTACCCACAACCCAGGGTCACTTCCCATCATGCATAGCACCAGAGAGGTGAGGCCCCCTGGTCAGTTGAACATCGTGGGGTGCCAGGGGATGTTTCCCGCAAGTCATCGGGCTGCGAGCACATTTGGCAACCATTATCAGTCAGTGGTTCTTTACTACGCAGTCCGTCAAGTAATAACCTAGTCCCATTATAGCTATTTTAGGTGAGGGCTGGGGTGAGGGTCACCAAGTCTGTTCACATAACGAAATCCGATCCAGAGATTTGAAAGAACCAGAGGGCCATGTGGAAAACATCAGCCTTTCTTCTGACCATTCATTCTATTCCAGAACACAGAAGAAAAAAATATTTTGGTTCCCCCAGAGAACCTTGACTGTGTATAACTGCTCTTTTCTACAGGCAAAGAAAGAGTGTGAGCAGAAAGTGCAGAGAGAGAGGGAGAGAAAAAGAGAAGAGAGCAGAGAGAGAGAGCGAGAGAGAGAGAACAGAGTGATTGAAGGTTATCTGAAGTGTTTTCTCCCGACCATCACAACAACATGCCAATAGCTCTAATCCTCTCTGCGCTCGGTGTGTCAGAAAGTCACCTGTATCTCAAACAGCCATCTAGAAGACTTAACAGGCAGTTCATTTGTTTATGACCCCCACCTGCTTCAAGGCCCTGCCTGTCTTTTGGCTGATAAGTGACACATTTGTGTAACTATCTGCTGATGTAGCTCCCAGCAACAACCAACCTGCCTGGATGAACACACAGGTATATCAGCAGCTATCACTTGGACTGGGGGGCAGACAAATGGATGGACGGATGGGCGGGCAGGGGGATGGACAACAGACAGACAGAGAGACAGACAGAATAGTGTGTGGTATAGTACTGACTCATCGTACCTGGGTAGGGGAAACTAACTAACACCTGTTCGCCAGGTATGCATCACTTTTCACTCACAGAGAATGAATGCTCCACACACCAAATCAAAACGGATTGGTCATACGAATAGATTGTGTTTTTCTGTGTATTTGAGATCAGACTTTTCCTCTGGAAGTGTGATGACTGTGGTTCTTCATTATCACACAATTCAATTCTAAAGGATCAATAAGGATCAACATTGAAGCACAAACGTTAACCAAGGCACCCACACAAAGTCAAAATATATGTTTTGAATTCCATCCTTTCATACACTATTAAAACCTTGTTGTGAGGTTATGAAGTTAACATGTTATGACGTTAACATTTCCCATTGTCATTGGAACAATGTAAGAGACTTTGAGATGAGCCAGTGTGGATTGGCTGTAGGTAATCCTTTCACCACAGACAGAGGTTAGCCTGAAGGGTCTCTGTGAATGACTGTCTCTGAGTTGACATGTGAACTACTGTATGTAGAAGTACATCGGCTTGTCTCTAACAATGTTGTCACAACCACAGCTACCATCACCAGTAATCTGTATATTTTAAGGTATGTAAAGCTTATCAAGGGATCTTATTATAGTTAAGGTCAACTATTTAAACACTAGCATGCCAGCGCTGCTACAATAGCAAGGTGACTGTAGAGAGCATTAATGAAAGCAGCTTCAAAGCTTCTGTCATTAGGAGAACACCTTCATTAGGAGAACACATCCCCCATGTTGTTTGTCCCTTCAATAGGCAGTAATGGGCCTTCTAACTGGAGGCTATGTGACTGGCTGTCTGCAGGAGAACAGCCTCACTGATTAATAATTTGTCTGTTTGTGTCTGAGTGACACAGCAGGGTCTGTATCAGGGGGCTGCTGTCATGTTTTCCATATGAGAAGGCTGTCAGGATCGACATCAAGGCTGCAGTAGGACTGCTGTTCCAGCAGCGCGCCCAGTAGACCTGTCACTGTGCCCTCAGCCAACCACGGCCTGGACGCCTGTCTTAGCCAACCACGTCCCGGGCGGCCCGGACAGCCCGGACGCATGTAACAGCAGCAGCCATCAGCTAGTCTAATCTGACACCTAGTCAGAGGAATGATTATCTCTCAATCTGACATTTTAATTCCTTGACATTTTAATGCCATAATTGCAGCGGTTAATGTCAGCGCTGCGGTTGCACCTGTCAGACAGGTATAAACCAGAACCTGCCTGAAGCCAATCAACACATCCTAAAATGTTCTGGAGCCAATCAACACATCCCATAATGTTTGGAGCCAATCAGCACATCCCAGAATGTTATGGTGCCAATCAGCATATCTCAGAATGTTATGGAGCCAATCAGCACATTCACTCAGAATGGCTGACTGACTGACTGACTAACTAACTGACTGACTGGCTGGCTGACTAACTGACAGGCTGGCTGGGTCAGCTAAAAGAAAACCTTTGACGGGGAGCAGCTCCACACATGGATCCCACCGCTGCCACCTTGTTTCTACCAATACACAGGATCCCACCACTTGAACCATTATCAGGCGAATCTATACTTGGGCTGCGTCCCAAAAGGCAGCCTTTTTCCATAGGGCTCTTGTCAAAAGTACTGCACTGTGTAGGGAATAGAGTGCCATTTGTGATGCAGATTTTGTGTTTATCTCTAATTGGAGCGCTTGAGAAAGAAGGTCTGTTATCTGAAGCATTGAAACTTTCTTCCTTGCGCTACATATCATCTCTCACAGACTCACTTGTTATTTTGCAGACTTGACCTTAGGTTTCTGTCTCTGAATTAATGACAGACAGTAATTCATTCAAATAAGTACAAATAAGAGGATCTGATGAAGGCATCAAGGTATTCAGGCATACCTTCATTAGTACTTATCATATATGTTGCATTTAGCTGAGTTATGTCCTCC